CGACGTGGGAGGAGGAGGACGGACGACCACGGCGACAACGACGACGGAAACGACCACGACGCCAAAGAGGACGACGACGACGACGAAGACGAGAAAATACAGAGGACGACGTAGGCGACGACGACGACGACGCGGGAGGACGGAGGACGGCGACGACGACGACGACGACGACGCAAGAGCGTGCGCGCGCACGCTTTTGTTGAAAATCCGTGTTGCGAAACCTTAGGTTTTGTAGGTTTTTTGGACGCACGATTTTGAAATCCTTCCGAAACCGACGGGTTTTGAAGGTTTTCGGCATACGCCGGCGACGACGCGCGCGTCTGCACTTCGCTCCACGTGTTGCAGAGGATTCTCGCGACGGCACACGCGCAAGGGCGTTCGACAGATTCCGACATGCGCGCGCGAAGCCCGTTTGGTAGCATTTGTGACAATCTTGAAAAACCTATGGTTTTCTTGAGTCGCAACAGCTCGCGCGGAAGCTTTTTAAGCAAATCAGTGTTGCGAAACCATGTGTTTTTGTATTTTCTTTGTTTTTGGAAACTCGATTGCGAATTCCTTCCGGCACCGAAGGTCTTTGAAGGATTTCGGCATGCGCGCGCGACGACGCGCGCGCGTGCACTTCGTCCCGTTTTTTTTGCAAGGGATTCGTGAACAAGTGTTATGCTAGAACAAAAAATGTCACCGCATAGTTTTTTATATAAAAAAGGAACCTCAGGGGTGGGAACCCGGCCTGGCTGGGATGATATGATTTCATACTTAGGATGGACGAGTGGGCAGAATCATATATGATTTACATGCCCGAAAGGGGAACGGATAAGTCCGGGGGGGGTAGAGTCTATTCTCCTTTTAGAAAAGAGAATGAACTCCGCGGCGATGTTGCAGCGCGTCGCGCGGTCAACGTTGACGCGTCGCCGGTCAGGTCGAGGGGGGCGCTTGGCAAGGGGATCCACTTGAAGTTACTGGCGCCCAGGGGCTCTGAGTCCTGCGTGGTCTTGTCCAGGTCGTGCCATGCGCTGTGGAATGAGCATTGAAATGATGAGTTTAATTGGCCGTGCCCCTGGTGGTTTGCGCCGTCGTCGTTTCTCTCGCTGCCAGTCGTTTTTGCAGGAAGTCAAGGTCGACCGCGGCTGCTGCGTGGCCCTCAAGGTCAGGGGGGCAATTCAATGGGTCGCGGTGGCGGCGGGTCCACCGTCCGCGGCGTCGGCCCCCAGCGCCGTCTGATGCTCGCGCGCCGCGGGGCGGGCGGGGTGCAGGGGCAGGCGAGGTCGTCGTCCAGCTCGTAGGTAGGTAGGGCGGAGTTGTCGCGATGAGTCCCTGGTTGCTCACGCCCGGCGGGTGTCATTGCCGAGGCTGGCTCGCCGCCAGTGGCCCATCAACTTCTGATGCGCTCGTAGTTGTGCTTCTGTGTCTCGTAATGCCCATGAATAGTGCGGGAAGCCTCGCTCGCGTGCTCAGGCTCGCTCTCGCAAGTGGGCGGAGTCGGTCCTGCGGCATCTGTCGACGCCAGCGTGGCCGGGTGCCATTCTTCGCTTGGTTCTCGGCGGCGTTGGTGCGGATCTCGCGGGCGAGGGTCGCAGCGTGCCCGGCGGGGCATCGGTCCACCTTGGCGATGCGGAAGGCGTTTCCATGCCGCTCGATGTCGGCCGCCAAGGCGGCGATGCAATCTTCGCGCGCGCCCCGCCTGCAGGCCCGCGGCGGGCGCGCCGACCTCCCAAATAATCATGATCATCGTGCTCTCGATGGCCCGCGTGCTCGCGGCCGGGAGGCGTAGCCTCGCGATGCTCGAGATGCGGTCGGGTGCGCGATCCAGGCCGCGCGCTCGTCGACGCGCGCGCCAATCGAGTTGAGCGCAGCGGGCCAGCTCCAGAAGGCTCTCGTGACCGACGAAGTAGTCAATCCTGGAATCTCACCGCTAGGGTCCGTTTCATGCGAGGTCGCTGCGTGTGTGCGTGTGTGTGTGTATTGACGGCGCTGAGTTCGCGGTGCTGGCGCTGCGCGTGAGAGCGCCAGCCGAAGTCGCTCTCGTTGTCAACATGGAAAGTGTCGACTGAATATTCGGTGAACTAATCGCTTGGACTGGTAGCCCAAGCCCTGATGACGGTCCGTGAGTGCTATCGGATGTACTCGCCCTGGGCATGTAGTGGTGACTATCATGAGGCAGTTCCAAAAAAGAGTGCATCTATCTTTCCGTGCTTGTGTTTTTCTCGCACAGCAAGTCGTGGCGCGAAGTAGGCGGCGATGCATGGTATGCGGAGGGCGTCTCGATGGACTTCGACTGTCCCTTTTGCATCCCCGGAGCTCTGGTCCAGGGTAGATAATGTTGGCGATGTCGGTGCGTCGGTAGTTCTTGGCGGGAGCGATGCTGCAGCCTGCAGATGCGTTGGTAGTGGTCCGCGCCCCCAGCCGAAGTAAATCCAGTGGTGCGCAGCCAAGCTCTCGGCGCGATGTGGAGCGTCTCGTGTGGGTTGGCGAACTCTGGTGCCCGCCATCAGGATCGCCTGGCAACGCCTGAAAGTGTCACTGATGTCTTCGAGGCTGCTTGGCGCTCCTTTGAGCGTTAGCGGGTTCCATCCGAGGACCGCAGTTGGCTTGGTCGAGATGGTCGCGCTAGTAGGGTTGGCACCCGCGGGTGCAAGATCACAGATTCAACGGCCAGCTCTATATCACTAGCCCCACGTGGGGGACGGACTCGATCATCAGCAAGTAACTCGCCTCTGGCGGGCACGTGTAAGGTATCTCCTGGTGACAACTCATGTTGATGGTCTGGCAGTCATTGATCAGCACGGCGCAACGCTCGTTCGTGGTCTGGCCGTAACTGATCTGCAAAGCGCAAATTATGCTCAAGGTCTGGCCGTAACTGGTCCGCTGGGCGCAAGTCGTGTTCAAGGTCGGACCGTAACTGATGTTCTTGGAGCAAAGCAAATCCAAGGTCTGGTCGTGACTGATCGGCAGGGCGCGAATTGTGTTCACGATCTGGTTGTAGTCGTACCCCAGGCAAGAGTAGTTGCTCGTCCTAACGCCATGGAAGCACATCGATGCCGTCAAAATCGTATGTGGGTTGATCCTGTGTGCCATTCGGTAAGTGCTGACGGGCCTCAGCTGCACCTCGGTAGGGATGCTCATGTCGTTCGCCATCGTCTGCTGTGGCCATTGATCACCGCGATGCCCGTCGCTGCGGCGCAACTCCTAACGCGGTCGCCATGGCAAGGGGCCCCCTGCCCTGGAGCCTAGGGCGGTTTGGGGTGAGTCCTGGAAGCCGTTGCACCTCAAAAGGCCTGATCTCGTGGCGGCCTTGGGATGATGACGCTGATGTTGACGATGATGATGGTGATGACGATGATGATGGTGAGGGGGGGGAGTAGGAGTAGGAGTAGGAGTAGGAGTAGGAGTAGGAGTAGGAGTAGGAGTAGGAGGAGGCGGAGGAGGAGGAGGAGGAGGAGGAAAAGGGTGAGGAGGATGAGGGGGATGAAGAGGAAGCGGAGGATGACGAGAAAGAGGAGCAGGAAGAGAAGGAGGAGGAGGAGGAAGAAGAGGAAGAGGAAGAGGAAGAGGAAGAGGAGGAGGAGGAGGAGGAGGAGGAGGAGGAGGAGGAGAAAGAGGAGGAGGAGGAGGAGGAGGAGGAGGAGGAGGAGGAGGGGGAAAAGGATGGCTGGGGAGGAGAAGGAAGATGGAGGAGGAGGAGGAGCGTATAGGACGAGGCCCCACTGACCGAAAGGTCGCGGCCCTCGGCGCCGCAGCCGCGGGCGGGGCGTCGGGGCGGGCGCTGCTCGCTCGTTCGCTCCCCGCGGCACCCCCTCGACGGCCGTCCCCTCCGCCCTGGCCTGCCTCTCCCCGCCCTCCCCCCGGCTGCGCGAGCCCGGGGGAGGGGCCCTCACAGATGCGACACAGCTTCTGGGGCCCCGCTTTCGTGAGCTTCGTGGAGCAGACCCCACCGAGGTCCCGCAGGTGGTGGGTGCTCGCGCACCCGCAAGCCAAACGCCCAAGGAGGTCCTTGCCAGGTCAGGCAGCGAGCTGGGGGGACTGGTGGGCCAGCTTCGAGCCAACACAAGACCTGTCCGCGGGCCTGAAAAAACGATCGACTCCACTGCACCGGATGACAACGGGTAGGCAGGCACGGAGTTCTGTCGTGGACCGCCGAGCTGCAACCAAACTTTGCACATTACATGGGCAAGCATTTCCGGGGATGATAGGACAGGAATGCTGGGATGCGAGCGCAGCCTGCCTGCGATTCTGGGCCGCCGAGGTCCTGATACGCGCCTTAAGCGGACGCGCAAAATGGGCGCCCCCACAAGCCAACACATCTTCCATAGCAAAGAACAGGCGGTTCTGAACCTTCCTGGGTACTGCATCAGCCATGCTGACCGATGACGTGGCACCGTAGGACACCTTCATTTCCTTGGCAAACGCGCCAGCAGTATGATCAGCAATATAATTTGCTAAGGTGTGGCTTGGGTCGAGACCTAAGGCCGCAGCCTCGGCACACTCGAGGCGACTAGGGACCCACAGTGCGACCATATCCCCCGAACAGCACAACGCCCTCACGCGGGCGCAGAGGTCACGATGGGTCTGGATCTTGGCCGAGGTGCTCGCGCGAACCCTAGACACTCCGTTTGCCACGTAAGCAGAATCAACTATCTGCCCGAAAGAAGCTACTCCGGGGATTGCTCTAGAAACTGAGTCAGTACCCGAAGCTCGCTACGATTGACACTCTGCTTGTCTGGGATACGGGCCCCCCCCTGCAGCAAACGCCAACATCGCAGCCGCCACTGTGCTAGGAAGGCGTTCGTAACCGTGCCTTCGGAGTCTGCGGTCTCCTGAACACTTTCCTCCACTGGCATCCTCCGCGCCCCACACGCGGCCGTCCGTCTCCGAAGGGAAGGTTCCAGACGAAGCCTCGAGGGGAACGTCAGGAGGGGGCGGAACGTGGGTCCGAGACGAAGGAGCGAGGCCACGAAACCAAACGATAGAGCGGTCTTTGGATGCCGGCCGACTCCCTTTTCCTGGCGACGGCCTCCGAAAGCTATTGGAACTCAGCGTTACAAGGGCACTCCTCAAACCGACGCGCAGCCGTCTCTTAACCATTCGGCACCATGGGCAGGGACCGTCGCACTCCCCACCACAGCTCAAGATGCTGGGATGCGTCCAGACTGCCCCCCCGTGCAAATCGCTCGAAGCAAACCACTTCTCTTCCGGGGCCCCGTTTCCCAGCGAAGAGGAGGTGGGCTCTAGACGCCGTGCAGTCCATCGCCTGCTCCGAACCCTGGGCGCCACGGCACTGCGAGGCCCCATTGCCACATCTTCGCAGGGACAGAGCTGGCGACCTCCGGTTCGAGTCAGGTGTCGTGTAGGCTGGAGGAGGAGGGATGAGGAGGGAGAGGGGGGAGGAAGACCACACGAACGGCGAGCTTACCTATGTCCACACCCTCGCAGTCTGGATTCCCTGGGCGCGGTCCCGTGGATACGCGGTCACGCGGGTACGTTCCACGCGGGCCACCCGCGAAAAAAAACGACCCGTATCCACGCGGCGGTCGCGGCCCAAGGGCATGGCCGGCGTCCCACCACCCCCATAAACTCCCCAAAACATTTCCCTTCACTGCAAGACGCGCCCCCTTGAAGGACCAACATTCTACGGGCCTGCCGTTCAGGCAAGAACCCACTTGTCTTAAGGAGTTGCCTTGCACTCTAGCGCGTAGTTTCACAGGAAGGCGAACCTATACCATCACAAGCCGGCCCTATCCGTGCAATTGTTGCCCAAGGTTACGCGTCGTTCATTTCTAATCGTGCTCATTTCAAACTGTGCTCGTTTCTAACTGTTCCTGGCCCCCTAGTGGCCAGGAAGAGGCCCAGGATAGGACAATTAGAAATAAAAGGATCTTGGGCCCCCCCAAAACCAAAGAACTTCCGAATACTTAGAAATGAACAGTGTGCACACGTCTGGCCATGAACTTCGAGGACGTCTCAAGTCAGAACCCCTCAAGCAGGAGTCACCCTCCATCCGTGCAGCTGCTATCAAGTTTTGGCCTTCAGGCTTGAAGGCGTACCGAGCGGGAGCCCAAGTTTGAAAGGGAGCCGACCTTCACCTCCTTCACGGTTGCAAGCTTTTTGGAATAGTGTGTGTGTGTGTGTGTGCTGTGCGGCGCTGAGGCAAGAGTACAATTTTGAAACGGAGCCGACCTCGAGTATCATAACCGTTCCCAGCTTTTACGATGAATGTCCGCTGCGCGATGGCGAGAGCTCAACTTTGAAGACGGCCCCTTCCATTCTTGCATCTGTTGCTAACGCTTTGAGCGAATGTGCGCATCGCTACGGCGAGAGCCCCATTTTGTAAAATCGCCTGTGCCCCATCCTCGTAATGGTTGCAAGCCTTTACTACGAATGTGCGCGGAGTTGAAGCGATAGCTCATCATGGAAACGAGCCCTGCTACATCTGTGTAGCTGTTGCGAAGTTTAAATTTTAGAGTCGCAAATGGTGACGAAGTCTTAGGCGAAACAACCTCCCCGCCCGGCCGTCACCTCTGGTGGTGCGACAGGGAAGTCATCTACGTGTAAGGAAACGGGATGGAGGAGGAACACGAGGAGGAGACTGGAGACTGTAAAAAGACTATGTCTTCCCAACGAACAGATCTAAGAACAGTGAGAAGACCATGTCGGCCGTGACTCGCTGCCCACCCGAGACCTGAGACGGCTTGGTGCGTAGGGTGGCAGGGCTCCCTGAAGCCCTCACCGGAACGCGGGGAGGAGGAGGAAAATATAATGTACATTTGTTGTTTGTTTGTTTGTTTGTGTTGTTGATGGCCGTTCTTGTGTGCTTTTTTTTTTTTTTTTTTTTTTTTTTTTTTTTTTTTTTGTTTTGTAGTGTGGCTATTGTTAAATTGTTTGGGGGCCTCCTGGTGCCTCTTGGGACCTCTGGGGGATTCCGAGGACCTCCGTCGTCCTCCAGAGACCTCTGGAGCGGAGGAGGGGAATAGGGCAGGGGGGGAGGAGGATAAATAATAATCGTGGGTCAGCATGTGAGCGCGCGCGACACGGTGCAGATCAAACGCAATCGTGTTGCGCGCTAGCCACCACAGTTGCAGGTCATCCATCTTCAATTCAGGCATAATCTTGTGGCCCCTGTAACGCCGATCTGTTAAGGTTCGATCGAGAGTCGTGCGGTGGATGCCAACTGTCGGCTTCAGGAGCAGGGCGAAGTGCATCACAACCTTGTTAGTTTTGAGGTTGGAGCGATTCTTCGTGAAGCCTCGCAACTCGGGGTCGCCTGCGTGAAGTGTGGGGCCCACAGTGCCGGGCAACTGAAAAGGGTTTCTCCTCCCCTGCAAACCCCCAGGGACCCATGGCAAGAAGGCCATCAAGAGGACGGCTCAGGGTTCCCTTCCTGGGGCATTGAAAGCGGAAATCCCCGCCAGGCTGATTCTCTACCTAGGCTCTGCCTAGAAGGGTTCTTACTCTCTGGGCTTAAAGGGGCCGGGCAGTGGAAAGCGCCCCAGGCGGTTCCCCCAGTATCCGCCCCGCGGTTCCCCCAGTTACGTCCCCTTAGCTTAGCGTTGCTTATCTCATCTGAGCTTAGCTTATTTCATCTTAGCTTAGCTTAGCTTCATCTTAGCTCAGGTTTATGTTAGCTTAGCTTACCATCATCTTAGCTTCGCTGAGCTTTAGCATAGCAGAGCACATCATAACATAGCATAGCGTAGCATAGCGCAGCATAGCATATCATAGCATAGCCCATCATAGCATAGCATAGCCCAACATAGCATAGCCTAGCATAGCGCAGCACAGCACAGCACAGCGCAGCATAGCATAGCAGAGCATATCATAGCAAAGCAAAGGCAAAGCAACAGCAGCGACAGCAAAGCAAAACACAGGCAGCACAACGCAAAGCAAAGCATTAGCATGGGTGTAATTCCCGACCTAGGCTCTGCCTAGAGGGTTAGCTTAGCTTAGCACAGCGCAGCGCTGCATTAGCATAGCATATCATAGCATAACATAGCCAATCATAGCATAGCATAGCATAGCGCAGCACATCATAGCATAACGTATCATAACACATCATAGCATAGCATAGCGCAGCTTAGCATAGCTTAGCACAGCACATCGCATCATGACATATCATAGCTTAGCATATAATAGCATCGCATAGCATGTCATAACATAGCATAGCGCATCATCGCATAGCATACCATAGCATAGCATAGCATAGCGCAGCATAGCATGGCATAGCATAGCATAACAACTAATGTTGCTTTCCTAGGGGCTCCAACTTCTAGGTAGGGTCGCACTGGGGTAATTTTCCGATGAGTTATTGCAATTGTGAGTTTGCGCGGCTCTCACACGTGTGGGGGAGGGATCGGGGATGAGGGAAAGGAGGAGGAAGGATAGAGGATGTCTTCCTCCTCCTTCTCCTCCATCCTCCTCATCCCTTCCCTCCTCCTCCACCCTTCCCTCTTCCTCCTCTTCCTCCTCCTCCTCGTCCTTCCTCTTCGTTCCCTCTCCCTTTCTTCTTCCCCACCCCCCCTCCTGCACCGCCTCTTGGTGCCACGCCTCCTGCTTCGCGCCCCCTCCTCCTCCTCCTCCTCTTCCTCCTCCTCCTCCTCCATCTCCATCTCCATCCTCATCTCCATCTCGACGACGACGACGACGACGACAACGACGACGGACGATGTAGTACAGACGGCGACGACGACGATGCACGGGCGGACGGGCGGACACACAGACGGACCGACGACGGCGACCTCCCTCTTTTCCGCCTCCGACTCCGCCTCCTCTTCCTCTTCCTCCTCCTCGTTAGTCCCGTCCCGGGGAAGGGCGAGGAGGATGGGGAGAGGATGGTGGTGGTGATGCTAATGATACTGCCGATGACGCTAAGGAGGACGGGCAAGAGTTTTCAACGGGCGGGGCGGCTAGCGCGCGGGCACGGCTAGGCGACTCGGGTGCGAGCCCGAAACGGGGAAAACGTACCCGAACACCCCCCGACGGGAGTGCCAGCAGGCGCGGCCAGGGGCCTACCCGCCGCCGGAGCCATCGTCCACGACGACCAGGTGCCAGGGCGTCGAGGACGAAGTCCGCGAACGACTGTGGCCGAACCTGGCCGCTGGCCGAGGGCATCGGCGGCAGGCCGGTGCGCGGGTGCTGCCCAGCCCACAGACGCGCCCCAGACGGGGGCGCGTCTGTGGGGGAACGGCCCCAAGGCAAGGGTGCGCGAGGAGCTGGGCGTTCGCGCCCGACTGCGCCTCGCACCTCGCGCAGGCAAGGGAGGGACCCACGCTCCACGCACGGTGGCCCCATCCTGGGGCGCGCACCGCGGGGAAGAAGGCGTCGCGCGCCCTCGCGATGCGGTGGCGGCGCGCGCATCGGAAACCGTTGCCGCGCGGCGCAGGCTCGTGGGAACCGTCGGGCGGCGCCGTGTTCGTCGTCAGCTCGGGGGTGCGCCCTCGCTGCTGCGCGCGCCGAAGGAGGCCGTGCCGCGGCGCATCCTGCTGGCTCGGGCCCGCTGTCCGCATGACCCGAGCCAGAAACTTGGCCACGAAGGTCGCGAGACGGAAGGTGCGCTTCACGCGTTCCGTCGCCGCCTCGTCGGCAGGGCGGAGGGGAGCGCCCTCTCGAGCAGCGCGGTCGGCAAAGTGGTTGCCCCAGCGCTTGACCATGCCTGGCTCGACGTCGCCGTCTTGGCTGCGGCGAGCATGGCCTTCAACCTGGAGCACCGCCACCCCGCCCCCGAGGTCGCCCACCCGATCCCAAATTCGAGACTAGAGGTCCGCTACCTCGCGCTGTGCGCCCGTCGTCTCGGCGCGCCCACGCGCGACGCTCGAGGCGACCCACGCGCCGTCCGAATGGGAGCGGAAGGGTCCCAGCGCCACATGCGTCAAATACATGGGAGGGCGATGGCCTCCGCGAGGTCCGACGCCTGGCGCGGGCCCGGAAGCAGGCCGCACAGGGAAGCGACCAGGGAGCCAGTGGCATCAGCCTGGACCGCAGACATGCTCGCTCTAGCGAGTCGGGAGTCGCCCTGCACTAAACGCGTGCAGGAGCCGCCGCCGATGGACAGTCCTGGACTCGCCCTCGATGCTACCCTGCGCAAGACGCTTGAGCCACTTGACGAGGAAGGAAGGAACGGGGCTGGGCACGGAAGGCCGCGGATCGGGGACCAGGGCGTGCCTCCAGAGGACCCAAGCGGAGCGAGCCTCGAGGTCAGCCCGAAGGGGGGGGGGCGGTCGCGCTCCCGCACGAAGGCCCAGGTAGCCGAACGCAGTCCAAACACTCAGGCCAAGGTGGTCCCTGGGCAGAACTCGATGCCGCAAAAGGGGCAATTCGGGCTGGTCGCATGACCGTGACGGCGCTTCCGAGCCTGATCCCAAATGCCATTGGCTACAATCGCACGGGGGGTCGCCTGGCGCCGCGAGGTCGAATCCGGCCCCGGCGCTCCGTTGCGCAAGCAGCGGAGGGGGGCGAAGTATTCTGTGATCGCGGGGCGGCGGGGCGGCCCCGCGGTCGGCCCCGCGCGAGGCGGCGCGGCGGGCCGCCGCGGCGCCGTGGCCCGCGAGCCGCGGGGCCGCGGGCGCCTCTCGAGGCCACGTGCGGGGGCCCGCGCGCCGCAGGGCCGCCCCCCGGCCGTGCCGCCAGCTCCGCCCCAGCATGCAGCGCCATGAGCATCGCGAACCTCCGAAGGAGGTCGCGAGGTGGCGCGGCAAGTCCATCGCGCGATGTGGGCGACCTCGCTTCGGCGAGAGCCGCCTTGGGGCGGGGGCTTCGCGAGTTCCTCTCGGCGCGCGCGCTGTGGCCCCCGCCCCTCGCAGATCGACCCTCGGCCCCTCGGCTCGGCCGCCGCGCGCAGGCATGGCGCCGCCGCTCGGCGGGGCAGCGCGGGGGGCCGCGGGCCGCAGGGCCGTCCCCAGCGAGCTCCTCTCGAGGCCACGTGCAGGCACAGCTCGGCATGGGCGCGCCTTCCTGGCGGGGGGCCCGCGAGCCGCAGGGCCGCTCCCCAGCCGCGCCGCCAGCTCCGCCCCGGCACGCAACTCCATGGGCGTCGCGAGCCTCTGGCCGAAGGGGATCGCGAGGTGGCGCGGCAAGTCCAGGCGGCGCCCGAAGTCGGGCGGGCGTCGCCGAAGAGCCCCGCGACGAACCTGCAGATGGAGCCCATGGCCCGTGCCCACTTTTTTGGCCACCCCCGCTGTCGACCCTGGGGGCGGCGCCGCTGGGGGGCAAGGCCCAGGCCATCATCGGCCGCCCCCCATCCTGCGGGCTGCAGGTGGGCAGGCACGAGGTAGGGGAGGGGCAGCTCCAGATCGATGGGGATGGCGTCGTCCTGAGAGGCCCGCGCGGTGCCTTGGCCGTTGTCAAAGGCATCGGCCCCCCGCTGCAGCGCCAATATGTGCTCGGGGAGCTCGCGGAGCCGCGCCCCAGGGTCGTCCGCGCGCATGCGCTGCAGCCGTTGAACGTGCCTTTCACGTGCTGCACGTCGACGGCGGAAGGCGGCCGCGCAGATGTCGATGGCGAGGTCGACGCGCGCCGCGCCGGCGTTGGCGCGCCCGTCGCGCTGGGCCCGCTCCCCGACCAGCACGCTGAAGCGCGGGTGCTCGAGGTGGCGCGCGACGTGCGGCGCGCAGTTCTGGCGCCAGCGGCGGCCGTCGAGCTCCTCGTTCTGCGTGGGGGGGGGGGGGGTATGCGTGGCCCGTGTAGTGCCGTAGCGTTCGTGAGGCCCCTCTCCATCGTCTCGAGCACAGCGCGTCCATCAAGGTCCGCATCCTCGAACTTATACTCACCCAATTGAATGCGGCGAGTCCACGTCCCACTGGATACCGTGTCCTGCAGCGCCCATGCCACGGAGGCGACCTCGTCGCGCGCTCCTGCCGCCGGGCAGCGGGCGCGGGCGACGGGGCGTCGGCCCGGGCAGCGGAGGAGACCTCGCGAGCCACAGACTGGAGAGAGCCAGACTTGTCCAAACTGTCGTAGCCGTCAAAACTGCCACGGCCCGAGCTCTGGTCAAAGGCCCGACTCGTCAGCGCCCGCGCCCGCTGGGGCGGCGCTAGCGGCCCGGCCGGCGCCGCGCCCGCCCTTCGCACGGCGCGGCCCTCGCCGGCCGCGGCGCCCTTGCTGGCGGCGGCGGCGGCGGGCGGACGATGGCGGCCAGCGCCCGGGACGTCGACCGCGAAAGCCACCGCGCCAGGGGCCCCAGCACCGTCGCGCGCGCCAGCAGCGGCGGCGTCGTCCTGGCGCGCAGCGGGGGCCGCGGGCGCCGGGGCGTCGGCCTGGGCAGCGGAGGAGACCTCGCGAGCCACAGACTGGAGAGAGCCAGACTTGTCCAAACTGTCGTAGCCGTCAAAACTCTGGTCAAAGGCCCGACTCGTCAGCGCCCGCGCCCGCTGGGGCGGCGCTAGCGGCCTGGCTGGCGCCGCGCCCGCCCTTCGCGCGGCGCGGCCCTCGCCGGCCGCGGCGCCCTTGCTGGCGGCGGCGGCGGCGGGCGGGCGATGGCGGCCAGCGTCCAGGACGTCGACCGCGAAAGCCACCGCGCCAGGGGCCCCAGCACCGTCGCGCGCGCCAGCAGCGGCGGCGTCGTCCTGGCGCGCAGCGGGGGTCGCGGGCGCCGTGGGGGGCGCCTTCGGGCCAGCGGCGCCTGCAGAGGGGGCAGGGGCCGCCAGAGAAGCCGCAGTGGCGGCGGCGCCTGCGGGCTCAGCAGCGCCCCCGCTGCTGGGAGGGGCCCCGGGCTGCTCTCCTTGGCGTCCTTGGCGGGCAAGGGTGCGCTCTCCGCCGTGCGCCGCTTCTTGGACTGGCGCTCCCGCTGCTCGCAGTGCGCCTTCTCCAGCGCCTGCGCCTCCGACTGGAACTGGCCGAAGGCCTCCTTGGTCATGGTGGTGAACCTGGCCTGGAGCTCCTTGCGTCGCCGCTGCGCATCCTGGCGGTCGCGCACCTCGACGACGTAGTCTTCGAAGGCCCCCGGGCCGAACGAGCCCTCGTCGTCCAGCGCCAACGCCGCCTTGCCCTCCAGGACCGCCGAGATGCTGAGGGTGGGGGCCGCGGCCTCGCTGGCAGGCGCCACCGTGGTGGCCAGGGCCTGCGCCGCGCAGATGCAGGCCGCGGTGGCGCCGTCGAGGGCCGTGGTGCACTTGGCGATGTGCTCCGTGGCCTGGGCGAGGCGCTGCTGGGGCCCGTCAGCGACCGCCAGGGCTGCGCCGAGGGCTGCAGCAGCTGTGCCCCGCGCAGCGCCAGCCTCGGCGACGGACAGCGGCTTGACCAGGCTCTTGGCCCTGTGCTCGTCCAGCTGCCGTGGTACTTGGCCTCGCCTGGCCCGTCGCCTGACAGGCGGAGGAGCTCCACCAGCTGGGCCAGCTTGGCCTCCTCCGGGTCCGCGTCACCCTCCAGGACTTGCGCCTCGCCAGCGAGCGGACGCCCAGGCTGCTGCTGCGTGGGCGCCCTCCCGCGCCATGAGTGCCGCATGCCGCAGCCCCAGCAGCAGCCGCACCTGGGGAGGGGCGGCCTCTGGGCGCAGGCTGCTGGGCGGCGTCGGCGCCGTCGGGGCCGACCACTGCGGTGCGCCATGGCGGCACGCGGGCCGCGCGGCCGCGGCTGGAGGCCCGTCCACCCCCAGCGCCGCCATTGCCAGCGCCGCCAAGCTGGCCCAGGGCCAGCGGCCTCTTGCAATGGCCGCACCAGCACCACCACAATGCCCGCAGGTCTGGCGCGCGCCTCTGCCCGCGGCGGCCATGCCGTGGTGCGCGGGGAGCGGCGCCGCCGAGCCGTGGTGGCTGTCCAGCAGCGCCGCAGCGGCCTCCAAGCGGCAGCGCTGGCGGGGCGAAAGCGACCCCCGCCACGCGCGCAGCAAAACGCGAGCAGAGGCGCGCTCGCGGCGGAGGCGCCTGTGCCACGCTGCCTCCGATGGCAGCGCGACTGTCCCCGCCCGGGGAGCCCGCAGCAGCCTGTCCGCCCCCAGGCCCTCGGGCAGAAACAAGAAGGATGGGCAGGAGGAGGAAGAGGAGGAGGATGATGATGAGGAGGAGGAGGAGGTGGAGGAGGAGGAGGACGATGAGCAGGAGGAGCGGGAGGACTTGGAGGGAAGCAGGAGGATGCGGAGAGGGACTTCGAGGGGAACAGGAGGAGCAGATGGCGGAGGAGGAGGAGGCAGACTTGGAGTGGAACAGTCGAGGCAGGCGGAGCAGCAGGGAGAGGAATAGGAACAGGAAGCGGAGGAGGAGGAGGGGGAGGGGCGGGGGAGAGAGGAGGAGGAGGAGGAGGAGGAGGAGGAGGAGGAGGAGGAGGAGGAGGGAGGAGGAGGAGGAGGAGGAGGAGGAGGAGGAGGGAGGAGGAGGAGGAACAGCAGGAGGAGGAGGAGGAGGAGGAGGAGGAGGAGGAGGAGGGAGGGAGGAGGAGGAGGCGGAGGAGAGGAGGAGGAGGAGGAGGAGGAGAGGAGGGGAGGGAAGAGGAGAAGGAGGATGAGGAGGAGGGAAGAAGGGGGGAGGAGGAGGAGGAGGAGGAGGAGGAGGAGGAGGAGGAGGAGGAGGAGGAGGGCGGAGGAGGAGGAGGAGGAGGAGGAGGAGGAGAGGAGGAGGAGGAGGAGGGAGGAGGGGGAGGAGGAAGAGGAGGAGCAGGAGGAGCGGAGGGAGGAGGCGGAGGAGGGAGGAGGAGGAGGAGGAGGGGGAGGAGGGAAGAGGAGGACGGCAGCGGAGGAGGAGAAGGAGGAGGAGGAGGAGGAGGAGGAGGAGGAGGACGAGCAGGAGGAGGAGGAGGAGAAGTTGGCCGCACGAGACCCAGGCACCTACGCGGTTTGCGGGGCGTGCGCTGTGGCACGGACCCGGCGAGCCTGCGGGCTGTGCGCACGCTGGCGGGCACGCGGCTCTCGCCGTCGGCACCTTGCTCCTCCTAATCGCTCCTCCTCGCTCCTCCTCCTCGCTCCTCCTCCTCGCTCCTCCTCCTCGCTCCTCCTCCTCCTCTCCTCCTCCTCCTCTTCCCCTCTTCTCTCCTCCTCCTCCGCTCCCTCCTCCTCCCTCCTCCTCCTCCCTCCTCCTCCTCCTCCTCCTCCTCCTCCTCTCGCTCCTCATCGCCCCTCGTCCTCCTTCTCGTCCTCATCCTCGTCTTCGTCGTCCTCCTCCTCCTCCATGCTCTTAACTTTTCCCTCCTCCTCCTCCTTCTCCTCCTCCCCTCCTTCTCGCTTTCATCTCATCCCTCCTCCTCCTCTTCTTCCCTCCTCCTCCTCCGCATCCTTCTTCTCCTTCTCCTCCTCTGTCGTGCGCAGGTCCCTCTTTCTTCTTCTCCTCGTCCGCCTTCTCGTCATTATCTCTCTCTCTCTCTCGCCATCTCTCTCTCTCTCGCTCTCTCTCTCTCTCTCTCTCTGACTGCCTCCCTCACTCACTCACTCACACACACACACTCTCTCTCTCTTTCTATATATAATAATAATGTTTATCCTCGCTGTCTACACCTTGATCCTCGTCCGTTGTCCTCCTACTCCTCATCCTCCTCCTCCTCCTCCTCCTCCTCCTCCTCCTCCTCCTACTCCCCTTCGTCGTCGTCGTCCTCCTCCTCCTCCTCCTCCTCCACCTTCTCCTCCTCCTCCTCCCCCTCCCCCTCCTCCTCCTACTTACCTTCGTCCTCGTCCTCGTCCTCGTCCTCGTCCTCCTCCTCCTCCTCCTCCTCCTCCTCCTCCTCCTCCCCTCCGCCTTCCTCCCTCCCCCCTCCAAGGCTCCCAGGGCACGAGGCTGGGGCGAGGAAGCGCCGGCTGAAAACTGCGCCACCTATGGGGCGGCGGGTGAAAGAGACCTCACGCCCAGCCCACTCGCTCCAGCTTCCGTCGGGGGCGTCCAACCTCCTCCCTCCTTCCGTCGTAGAGAAATCGCGACGGGAAGCTTTTCGTCGAGAAACAGATCGCATCGGGACAATCTGGGCCGTTCTCTGTCTGCTGAGGCCGTCACTTGGCCCGCGGGGCATCAATCAGCGACGCAGGATGAGAAGCCAGTCTTGGGGAAGGGGTCCAGACCTCTGGGGGTCCGCGTTGTGAGCAGCAGCGCGATCTCGGGGGTCTGGGAAAAGAGGGGCGTCCAAGAGGGGGTCCACAAATCATGGCCCGAGGCATGTGCGCGGACGAGGGGGGGACCAGAGGACGTATTGAAAGAAGAGGGGGCCATGAAATTCAGGGCGACTTCATAGCCCCAGCCATGATATTCACCCCCCCGTTGTCATCACCCTCCTCGATGCCGTCCCCAATGCAAACGGCAAACGGCGCACACTTTTTTCGTCGGCGGCGAGGCAGAGGCAGTCCGCTCCAGCGCGTGGCTATTCGGGGCAACCGAAAAACTAATTGGCTGGCGTGCAAGGAGGGAGGAAGAAGACGAGGGCGGCCGCGCGGGGGGATAGGGATGGGAAAGCGCTCAGACGTGGAGGATTTCCGCGTAGAGCAGGCCGGTGCGGCCAGCAAACGACGCACACACACCCAGACCTCCGACGACACGATTTGTCCCAGCCCTCCTGCGTCGGGTCCTCGTTCCGTGTAGGGCAATGCTGCCGCCCTCCTCCTTCCCCCCGCCTCCCCACTCTACGGTCGCATCCGTGTGGCAACACGCCGGTCCACAGCGCTGTGCGCGCAGCCAGTTCCGGAACCAAACGCACACGACACAGAATGCCCTTGCCTTCTGCTGCCGCCGCCTGCCTCACTCCGCACGCTGTCCTCGATCTTGGCCGCTGGGGCCCGATTGTTGGGGCCCTGGGACGATAAAAAACGGATCCAGGACGAAGAACCAGGGGGAGGAGGAAGAGGGGGAGGAAAAGGAGGAGGAGGAGGAGGAGGAGGAGGAGGAGGAGGAGGTGGAGGAAGAGGAGGAGGAGGAGGAGGAGGAGGAGGAGGAGGGGGAGGGGGGGAGGACAAGCTAGGTGCGCTCGCGTCATTTCTGACATCCTACCCCTCCCTCCCATCCCTTACCATGGTGCAGATCCCCCCTCTACTCGCACAGTCGGATGTCGAGCAGGGCAATGATCCCGAAAGGGCACGCGATGTATTGTAGAGCACGGCATGGCATGGCGTAGAAGAGCACCGCGAAGCGTAGTATCAACCTAGCATTGCATTGCATGCCGTGGCATGGCACGGGAAATGACGCCATCGCTGCAGCGGGAGCACGAATCGAAACGAGCGGAAAACGGAAATGAGGCCAGCGCTGCAGCGGGAGCACGATGCGGAACGAGCGGAAGCGCGCCAGAATCGGCCCGGGAGGCTTTCCCGGGCGCCAGAAGCAGAAATTCAGCATTTTCAAAAGAAAAATGTGTTTTGGAATGGCCTTTTTTCGGCGCCGCTTCGGAACTCGATTTTCCGGCGCCGGCCGGAACTGGCTCCAGACCAGGGGCGGGCGCCGGCCCGGGCGCCGGCTCGGGCGTCTGGCCCGGGCGCCGGCTCGGGCGCCAGCCCGGGCGTCGGAATCGGCCCGGGAGGCCCCCCGGGCGCCGGAAGCAGAAATTGAGCATTTTCAAAAGAAAAATGTTTTGTCGCCGCCTCGGATCTCGATTTTCCGGCGCCGGCCGGAACCGGCTCCGGACCCGGCCTGGGCGCCGGCCCGGGCGCCGGCTCGGGCGTCCGGCCTCGGGCGTCCGGCCCGGGCGCCGGCTCGGGCGCCAGCCCGGGCGTCGGCATCGGGGAGGCCCCCCGGGCGCCGGAAGCAGAAATTGAGCATTTTCAAAAGAAAAATGTGTATTAGATTGGCCTTTTTTCGGCGCCGCCTCGGGACTCATTTTCCGGGGGCGGCCGGAACCTGCTCCGGACCCGGCGGCCCGAGCGCCGGCCCAGGCGCCGGCTCGGGCGTGCAGCCCAGGCGCCGGCGGAAATGCGGCCAGCGCTGCAGCGGGACCACGATTCGGAACGAGCGCGGGGCCCGAAAATGACGCCGGCGCCTCAGCGAGAGCAGCACATTGGAAAAAATGCAAGCGAAAACCCAACTCCAGGGAAACTGTTTGTAAAAAACAGTACGCGGGGGGGGGGCGGCTACTCCGTCATCAGGGGAAGAGGGAGAGTAGTATTCATATTAAGCAATTGAGGGGAGGGAGGAGGAGGAGGAGGAGGAGGAGGAGGAGGAGGAGGAGGAGGAGGAGGAGGAGGAGGAGGAGGAGGAGGAGGAGGAGGAGAGGAGGAGGAGTTGAAGGAGGAGGAGGAGGAGGAAGAGAGGAGGAGGGAGGAGGAGGCGAGGAGGAGGAGGAGGAGGAGGAGGAGGAGGAGGAGGAGGAGGAGGAGGAGGAGGAGGAGGAGGAGGAGGAGGAGGAGGAGGAGGAGGACGAAGAACCACCCCCGTGGAAGGGGTCGGGACCCCTCGGGCCGCGCGCGGAGAAGGCCCCCTCGCCGGATGTCCCAGAGGGCGGGCCCCAGGCCTCCGCAGAGGGGCCCCGGGTGCTTCCGAGAAGGCTTCTCTCAGGGGCAGCCAGGGCCTTTGTGAGGAGCCTCCCCCCCCGCCTTCTCCGAAGCCCCCGCGCCCCTCGCGTCACCCCCTTGTGCGCGCCCTGGCCACGCGGCGGCCCAGCGCCAGGGGAGGAAGAGCGCTGTCGCACCGAGACTTCCGCCATCTGGGACGCCTCTCCCATGGCGGCTGGCGAGATTCATACCCCTACGGTGCCGCGTCGGGGTACCGAATTACCGACCGTCTTGGGACAGGCGTCCCCGAGGGCGGAAACAAACTTATGTTTTACAGTGCTGTTTTTCGTCCTCGGGCTGCGACAAGCCCACGTCGGGGTGACGTGGGCGTTGGTTTCTGACACCGCGCGGATCAGTCATCTTGGACCGATCGCCACACTCCGACGGCAGATGGTGGAGTTCAGGCTCGAACGCCCGCGCTGGCGCCGCCGCCGCGTCAACGCGGCGCGAACGTGACGTAGGGCGTCGTCGTCGACAAGAAGTCGAGGATATCGAAAACACGTCTACGCGCGGGGATGATGATCGTGCCAAGGCCCTTTCGAAGACCTGCTGCCAGGTAGAGTCTGATGTAGTTCAGTGTAAGATGTGCTGCCTGTTCGACCACTCCATCCGTTGGCCCCCCGCAGGGAAGGAACTCGGCGGGAACCGGGCGGCGCACTGCGTCCTGTGCCGCGACAGTGCAGTCGGAAACGAGCTCGGTGGGGCCACGGAGGGCCAGGAGACTACAATCCACTTTGGGGGGTGGCGAGGGACGACCAAGAGGGGGAGAGCTCGAAATCACTCCCACCTAGGTGTATGTAGCATATATACACCTATGCTTTATGTACTCTGTGTGTACAATATATATATACATGTTGGGTATGGTATACATATGTACACATACACACATGTCTCCCTCTTTCTATAGACAGAGAGAGAGGAGTGGTGGGGGATGGGGGAAGTGAGTGGATAAGAGAGGAGATGAGCGGGCGAGAAAACATCTCGTAGATGACAACGCAGCCTGGCTGGGGGAAACGCTCGACTGCAGTCCAGACGGAGACACACTCGCAGGCGGGGCGGTCAAGTTCGCTATCTGCTCTCGTTTGGGTCAAAGCCGCGCGGTGCTGCTCGGCATCTTGCATCTGGTAATATGACATATTTTGAGTTCGCGCTCGCCTAGAAGAGCGCGTTTCTGTATTTTTGGCGATCATGGGCATTATAGGGGAGGCGGGGAGGGGGCTGGGGTGGTATAGTGCAACGCCTCGCCCCCGCCGTGTGCCCGATGCGCACGGCGGCAGTGCCCGGAGCGCACTGGGGGGGGAGGGGCGTTAAGTTGTAGGGGTGGGAGGGATGGGGAGGGGGCTATAATGCCCATTATGCACCAAACATTTAAAACAACACGCTCCAATTGTGGAGGTTTACGCATCGGCCAAGTTATGTGACTTTCGTTAAGCGACGCTCAGAGGAAATAACTATATACACAAAACGTCTAAAGTATAGTCACAAACGTACAACCAGGGGGGACAATCCACAAAGCTAGTTATTCCCAACGCTGTACTGCGCATGTAGAAGGCTAAAGAAAGGCGGGGCAAACTGGACCGCCGGGGACGTCCCCGCGTCCGCCATCCTAAGGCCATCTTCGGCGTCTTGGAGCGCTCTTGGGCTGTCTTGGAGGCCTCTTAGAACGCTCTTAGAGCTCTCTGGGCGCCTTCTGGGGCGTCTTCAGCCTCCCGGCGCGGTCCCAGCGCGCTCCCCGCATGGCGCGTCGAGGGGCCGCCCTGGGAGCCACCAGCCCTGTCCCCTGGTCTGTGTACATTATATATGTACGTACATGCAGATATGTGTGTGTATGTATGTATGTCTGTCTGAATGTCTGTCTGTCTGTCTGTCTGTCTGTATGTATGTATGTATGTATGTATGTATGTGTATATATATGTATACGTATATATGTATGTATGTCTGTCTGTCTGTCTGTCTGTCTGTCTGTCTGTCTGTATGTATGTATGTATGTATGTATGTGTGCATATATATATATATATATATATATATATATAGATACATACATACATACATACATACATATATACATCGGAGGTGAGGGGTGAGATCGAAGTGGAGCGGAGAGCCCCCCTACCGGGAAATCGATTTCGGTTTCGTGTTCGTGCGTGCCGTGCGTGCGGGCGAGGCGAAGCTGCGTGGGCGGGCGAGAAGAAAGTCTCCTATGGCTGAGGCGCGGCCGGACCAAATGATTCTCCGCCGGGCGGCCGGTGGCGCGCGGTGTCCCGCCGGTGTCCCGCTGGTGTCCCGTGTGGCTGAGGCGCGGCCGGACCAAATGTCTCCCTTCCGGGCGGCCGGTGGCCCGCGGTGTCCCGCCCGGTGTCCCGCGGTGTCCCGCGGTGCCCCGCGGTGTCCCGCCGGTGTCCCGCGGTGTCCCGCGATGATGATGATGATGATGATGATGATGATGATGATGATGATGATGATGATGATGATGATGCTGATGATGATGATGATGATGATGATGATGATGATGATGATGATGATGATGATGATGATGATGATGATGATGATGATGATGATGATGATGATGATGATGATGATGATGATGATGATGATGATGATGATGATGATGATGATGATGATGATGATGATGATGCTGCTGATGCTGCTGATGCTGATGTTGAGCTGATGCTGATGATGATGATGATGATGGTGATGCTGATGATGATGCTGATGATGGTGAGGACGATGATGACGATGATGATGATGATGATGATGATGATGATGATGATGATGATGATGATGATCGAGTGAGATCGAGTGTGAGATAGATCGAGTGAGATCGAGTGAGATCGATTGTGAGATCGATCGAGGGAGATCGATCGAGCGAGACCGATACTGAGATCGATAGGGAGATCGATAGTGAGACCGATCGAGTGAGACGTTGGTTCCTCCCCCCCCGAACCTCCTTATCACCCGAAGGGTGGTCGTATAAGTATATATATATATATATATATATATTCCTCTTCCTCTCTTTGTACAAGCCCGGGCGGGGGGACCCCCCCCAAAAACCGGACTCCCGGGATCTGGGGCTTTGGGACCCTCCGGACGGGCCTCGAAGCGGCCCCCGGGCCTCACAGGGCGTTTTGCCAAGCCTTCCCAGCACACCTAGGGCGATCAGGGGGGTCATCGGAGACGTCCCAGAGACCCCCAAGACAGCACAAGAGCGCTCCAAGAGTGACCGACGTAACCTCAAGATGGCCCAAGAGGCCTCCAGGACGGCCCCAAAAAGGCCTCCAAGAGCACTCCCAAGAAGGCCCCCAGAGGCAAAAACCATTCATTTTCTGTGGGTTTTTGGTGAATTTTGGGGTTCCCCTCTTTTCGGCTTCCCGACGCTCCACGACGGCGGTCTTCTGGGCATGAAGCTCCAAAATCGCCCCACAACCATTCCAGGCAGTAAGCCCCAAAACGGCACAACACGGGTCCAAGATGGCCCTCAGAGAGCCCCATGGCGCCCCAAGATGGCCCAAAGACACCCTCAGAAGCATTCCAAATCGTGACCCGGTCGTTCAGGGAGACCGCGGTTGGAGGCAGGGTGGCCCGAGGAAGCCCAGGCCTTGAGAAAGCCTGAAACAAGTTTTGTGAGGCCCCCAGAGATTCTCCAAGGAGGAGCCTCCGCAAAAAAGAGCTGAGGAGGATGGGGAGAATGCGCAGGGTATGGCGAAAATAAGGAAAAGAAACAGGGAGGAAGGATAACGATTAACATTATTATAGCGGCGATGCCGGAAAAGGCAACAAGGAATTATCGCTAAATTGTCGGCTTGAACTTCCTGCTAGTCCGCCTGCATACCAAACTTCAAGGACCAAGGTGCATGGCGCGAAGCGCCACTGCAGTCTTGTGTATGTATATATATATATATATATATATATATTTATATATATATATGTATATATAAGTGTGTGTATATAGATATATTCATCTCTGTATATAGTACATGCATACATACACATAGAAAACATACAGATGTGTAGAGATCAATCGCTTCGGTCCGGTCTCCGCGGAATATGTTCCAGGGGGACAGTTAAACACATGAGCATTCGGCGGCGAATTACTTGTTGTCGGGATCTGGGGTGGGGAAGGGGGGGCATCGATGTTTTATCAGGGTTGGGAAATTACAGACATACATACATATATACATACATGGAAACATACATAGATACATTCATACATTCATACATTCATACGTAAATGCTCACTCGTATTCTCATACGCATACACATTCAATACACATACTCATGCACATCTACATATACATCTACGTCTACATCTACAGCTACATCTACACTTACATATGCATTCACATACGTACATACATAAATATACGCAAACATGCATACACGCACCCAAATATACATACATACACAGATACAGACATACATACATTCATACATACATACATACACACATATGCATACACACGTATGTATCTGCACGTTTCCACAAGCTTACACACATACGTCTACATGCGCATATACGCATACTTGTACACATACATATACAATTACCCACATGCGCTTGCACATGTACATAACATGTAACAGACATGTGTATACATTCATGTCTATATATGCAGTCACATGTATGCATGCATGTATGTATGTATGTATGTACGTACGTACGTACGTATGTATGTATGTATGTATGTATGTATGTATGTATGTATGTATGTATGTATGTATGTAGGTCTGTATGTATGTATGTATGTATGTATGTATGTATGCATGCATGCATGTATGTATGTATGTATGTATGTATGTATGTATGTATGTATGTATGTATGAACGTGTATGTACGTATGCATGCATGCACACACACATATATATATATATATATATATATATATATATATATATATATTGTATCCGTACCGTGCCGCTGGGCATGGAGTGGGCGTGTCCTCAGGTCCTGGGCCCAATCCTCTAAGCCTCGCTTCCAAGAGGGCTCCAAAACGGCCTAAGAGCGCCCCAAGACGGCCGAATAGGCACCCAAGACGGCCCAAGTGGGCCCCAAGACGGCTCAAGTGGCGCCCAAGACGGTCCAAGAGAGCCCCAACACGGCCCCCAAAGGGGCCCAACAAAGGGAACACGAACCGAACATCCGAGCCTTCCGCCCAAAGACCCCCAGGAGGCCCCAAGAGGCGCCCAGAGTCCCAAGAGGTCCACAATTGGCCCGCAAGAGGCCCCAAGAGGCCTCCAGGAGGCCCAGAAGAGGCCGCCAAACGGCCGCCGAGAGGCCTCAAAACTGCCTCCAAGAGGCCCCCGAGAGCCCTCCCACGAAATCCCAACGAACATCCAATCTGCTTCATACCCAAACCCAGGCACGAAGGCGGGATAGGCCGAAGGCCATTACGTATGTATATGTGTATGTATGTATGTATGCATGCATGCATGCATGCATGCATGTATGTATGTATGTATGTATGTATGTAGATAGGTAGGTAGGTAGGTAGGTAGGTAGGTAGGTAGGTAGGTAGGTAGGTAGGTAGGTATGCATGTATGTACATGTACATGTACATGTATATGTATATGTATGTGTAACTGTATATGTAATTGCATATGTATATGTATGTTTAATAACATACGTATACATGTGTATATACACACTATGCGTATATATATACATACATGTATGCGTGTATATATCGACATGAAGCAGGAACGCATTTACAGTAGATTGGGTTCTGGCTCACCTCTGAAGGAAAAAGACAAGCAGAAACCCCTTCGACAGTTGAAGTAGGAAGGCGCTCGAAGTGGATTGGGACCCCAGAGCCCCAGACTGCATATGATCGGAGAAAAAGCCTGTACTCACACGTGGGTCCTAAAGCATGCGACCGAAGCTGGAGAGAGTGGGAAGCTACAAACCTGCAGGACCCGTGGGCCCGTCGCTCAGCACAGGCCCCTGCGATCACCTCGCGGGCATCGCCCGCGGAGCCGAGCGGAGCCTAGTCCCGAGCGGCAGCAGCGACGACTCACGACACGTCGTCCAACGCCTTCTGGAGCATCTCCAGCATCTCCTCGTCCGCCCCGACCTCCGTGGCGATGTCCAGAGGGGTCTTGCCCTCGTTGTTCTGAACCTTCATGCACTGGTCCCCGCCGTTCTCGACGATGAGCCAGGCCACGTCCCGCGCCCTGCTCGCCGCTGCCTCGTGCAGCGCGGTGTTCCCCCTCTCGTTGACCGGGTCGCGGTCCGCGCCGCCCCAAAGAAGCATGGAAGCGACCAGGCGCTTGTTGTGTCTGCCGGCCAGCATCAGTGGGGTGTTGCCCTGGTCGTCCAAGACGTTGACGTCGGCGCTGCACTCCACGAGCAGGCTGCCCGCGGCCGCCTCTCCGGCCACGGCGGCGTGGTGCAGCGCCGCGAAGCCGCCTGCGTCCTTCGCATCTATGTCGAAGTCATCAGCGTCCATGAACTCGTTCATGGCACCGATGTCGCCATCCGCGACGGCCTGAAAAAATGTGGCCATCCCTGGCCTTGGGCGATGGGAGAGGTCAACGAAAACGGCCCGGCGCAAGCAGCCCTGGAACCCAGGGGATGGGCGCGAGAATGGCAGTGATGACGGTTTTTCCTGAGGACGGGATACACGGGCCTCGAGTGAGTCGCGTGAGAAAGGTGGTACCCCTGAGCCAGAAGTTCCTCTATTAGAAACCCGACCAGGAGGAACACAGTTAAGTTGTAACAAGAAGGAGCGCAACAGTTCAAG